CTAATTTGAAAGTATAAACATCCATTTAAGTACAGTAGGCCTGACATGTTTGTTTAAAAATTAGTCACTACTTTTTAAAAAATAGCATTTTTTTAGCACAGTTTTAGATTTACAGTCAAATTGAACAAAGTTTAGAGAATTCCCGTATACCTCCCCTCTCCACATGCTCACCTTCCCCCCCCGCCGTCAACATGCCAAACTACAGTGATTAAATTGTTGTTGTTAAATTGACAAATCTACACTGACATCATTGTCAATCAAAGTCCATGTTACATGAGGGTTTATGCTTGCTGTAGTACATTCTGTGGGTTTGGACAAATGTATAATGATGCATATCTCTCACTATAGTATATCATATAGAGTGGTTTCATTGCCCTAGAAATCTTGTGTTTTACCAGTTCGTCCCTTCCTCCCCCCAGCCCCTGGCAATAACTGATCCTTTTACTGTTTCCATAGGTTTGCCTTTTCCAGAATGTTATATATTTGGAATCATACAGTATATAGGCTTTTCAATTGGCTTCTTCCACTTAGTGATATGCATCTAAATTTCCTTCATGTTCTTTCATGGCTTGATAGCTAATTTCTTTTAGCTCTGAATAATATTCCATTGTCTGAATGTACCACAGTTTATTTATCCACTCACCTACTGAACGACATTTTGGTTGCTTCTAAGTTTTGGCAGTTATGAATAAAGCTGCTATAAACATCTCTGTGCCAGTTTCTCTGTGAACGTAAGTTTTCAATTCACTTGGGTAAATACCAAGGAGTGCAATTGCTAGTCAGAGTAATTGTTGGATAAGAGTATGGTTAGTCTTTACTTTAAAAAACCTGCCAAAGTGTCTTCCAAAGTGTTTGTACTGTTTTGTATCCTACCAGCAAACAATGAGTTTCTGTTGCTCTACATCTCACCAGCATTTGGTATTTTGAATTTTCACCATCCCAGTAAGTGTGTAGTGGTATTTCGTTGTTGTTTTAATTTGCCATTCCTTGACGACTTATAATGTTATCTTTTCATATGCTTGGTTGCTGTCTGTATATCTTCTTCTGTGAAGTGTCAGTTCATGTGTTTTGCCCATTTTTAAGTGGATTTTTTTTTTTAAGTGTAGAGTTTTAAGAGGGTTTTTCTGTGTTTGTATATTTTGGAGACCAGTCCTTTATCAAATGTCACCTTTGCAACTATTTCTCTCATTCTGAATCACTACATTTTATGTCATCTACCTTATAAGTTCAAGGATTATATTTTTAAACCTCTTTTTCTTTTGGACTTCTGAGAGTCCTGACTTTTATTTAATTTAGACTAAATTCAAAGCAACTTCTAGTTTTGAATGGCAGAGAGCAAAACTGGTCAAATAAATGGTACTTAGTATGCTCCCTTTACAAACATTTTGAAACACAGGTTGCCTTATGTGTTGTGTTTTCTAGCTGAATAAAGGCTTACCATCTTAAGCACAAAGCTTTCTATTTGAATTCGTTTGGATGAACATGTTTATAAAATAGGTTACTGTTTTACCTGCCTACTTACACAGCAAATATTGAACATAACTGAACCTCTTTGTTATGACTTTAAATCATAAGATAAGAGAATATGCTTAAAAACAAGAATAATATAACTATGAAAAAATAATCAGAGAATAAGAAGAATCTCCTGGAAATTAAAAACGTTATTATCTAAATAAATTCTGCTCAAAAATAAGGCCAAGGAAATTGCCCAGAATATAGAACAAAAGAGACAAAGGAATGGAACACTGTTGGAAAAAAAACCTTTAAAAGTCAATCCAGGATATTCCTTATCCAATTAATATGTATATATGAAAATGAACCAGAAAAAATAGGAAAAAAATTTACCAAAGAAATAATAAAAGAAGTTTTCCAAAAAGGAGAACATGAGAATTTCTAGCTTGAGAATGGCTAGGCAGTGAATTGAAAATGACCCACATCAAAAAAAATCATTTAATTTTAGAACCCTGGAGTTAAAAATGAGATCCTAAAAGTTTCCTGGGAAGAAAAATTACGTTACATGTGAAGGATCAGGAATAAGAACGGTAATGTTATACCTTCTTCAGCTATCAAGCTTAAAGTAGAATAAAGATATTTTCAGGCATACAAATTCTCAACATTTATATCCCATACACCTTTACTCAAGATAACGTGAGCTATCAAAACAAGAGAGGGAGCACAAAAGAGAAAGACTCAGTTTCTAGGGGATCCAATGCAGGAAAATGTCAAAGGGAAATTCCAGAAAAAGCATCTATTGCAGGTGTAAGAATCAGCCTCTGCAATAGAACAGGAGGATAGTGGCTCCAAGAGGGAAGCAAGAGATGAGAGGGTAGAAAGGACACAAACTTTGATGTATTTGATGTCATGGGAAGTGATATGAGATGTGTGAGTGTTTTGATTATTAACAATAGGTATGTTGAAAAGTAACCCAATAAAAATGGGGTGGCTATTCATTTCAACAAATGGTATTTTTGGCTCCACAGTAAACAATTTTTACCTAGTCCTAATAATATAATCACTAAATATTGATCCAACTGTAGGGAAGGATAGTTTAAATAGCGTGTAAGACAGCTCAGTTCTCATCTACCTTAACGGAAGTGAATGTTAATGCCTAACACACATATCATGGAACAATGATGTATTATTTAGAAACATGAAAGTAAATATCAGAAGAAACAGCTAAAATAATTAAGGATGTTTCCTCTAGGGCAAGGGTGTCCAATCTTTTGGCTTCCCTGGACCACAGTGGAAGAATTGCCTTGGGCCACACATAAAATACACTAACACTAATGATAGCTGATAAGCTAAAAAATAAAAAAAAATCATAATGTTTTAAGAAAATTTACGAATTTATGTTGGGCTGCATTCAAAGCTATCCTGGGCCACAGACAGAAAAATAGAGAGGTGGTTACCAGGGGCTGCAGGCAGGAGAGATGTGGAGTTCCTCTTTAATGGGAATGAAGTTTCAATCGGGGAAGATATGAAAACTTTCTGGAGATGGATGGTGGTGATGATTGTACAACAATGAGAGTGTATTTAATGCCACTGAACTGTACACTTAAAAGTGGTTAAAATGATGGCCGGGCATGGTGGCTCACATCTGTAATCTCAGCACTTTGGGAGGCCAAGGCGGGTGGATCACCTGAGGTCAGGAGTTCAAGACCAGCCTGGCCAATATGGTGAAACCCTGTCTCTACTAAAAATCCAAAAATTAGCTGGGCGTGGTAGCGGGCACCTGTAATCCCAGCTACTTCAGAGACTGAGGCAGGAGAATCACTTGCACCTGGGAGATGGAGGTTGCAGTGAGCCGAGATTGTACCAATGCGCTCCAGCCTGGGTGATGAGTGAGGCTTGTCTCACAAAAAAAAAAGATTAAAATGGGCCAGGTGTGGTGGCTCACACCTGTAATCCCAGCACTTTGAAAGGCCAAGGTAGGAAGATCACTTGAGGCCAGGAGTTTGAGACCAGCTTAGCCAACATTGTGAGACCCTATCTCTACAAAAAATATAGAAATCAGCCAGATTCGTTTTATCTAAGTGATAGTGTGCACCCGTAGTCCCAGCTACTCAGGAGGCCGAGGCAGAAGGATCACTTGACCCTGGGGAGGGCAAGGCTGCCATACGCACTGATCACACCACTGTCTCAAAAAAATTTTTAAAAGAAAAAACTGGTTAAAATTGTAAATTTTATATTACATATATTTTACCACAACAAAAAGCAACTTAGAAAAAAATTTAGTATTATTTTATTTTCAAGTAATTAATTATATGCATGTTTTAATTTTATTACATTAATTTATTGCAACATTAATTTTAATTTTATTACAACATTAATTTTCAAGTATGAATGCTTGAAAAGTGTTTTTTGGTTTGTTTTTCAATTTTTTGTTTTGAGACAGAGTCTCACTCTGTCACTCAGGCTGGAGGACGGTGGCGAGATCTTGGCTCACTGCAACCTCCACCTTCCAGGTTCAAATGATTCTCATGCCTCAGCCTCTCAAATAGCTGAGATTACAGATGCATGGTACCACCACTGGCTGATTTTTGTATTTTTTGTAGAGATGCGGTTTTACCATGTTGGCCAGGCTGATCTTGAACTTTTGACCTTAATTGATCCATTCACCTTGGTCTCCTAGATAGCTGGGATTATGGGTGTAAGCCACCACACCCAGCCCCTGAAGTGTTTATATGTATCATAAATATAAGTGTTTGTGCTTAGATTTTATGATGTAATTTATGTGTAACTAGACACAAAGACCTTTTACGGCTTTTGTCTAGTTCTTACCTGTATTCTCCTTAGATAAAAATAGATGTTATTTTCAAATAAGGGAAGTATTACTGAACATGACTATTTTACATTTTGGGGCATTTTGAAATATGAGATTCCTAAATGTAGCACTATCACTGAGAATAAATGCACAGATTCATCCAGTTTGAGCAAGGACCTTATTATACAGGAGTTGTCCTTTTATGGCCTCTGTTCTTCTCAGTGGCTATTCTAAATGCTTGCCTGTGCAGTCACCCCTGAATAGTTTGTGGGAACTCCTCTCTGCATTTGGTAGGGACTGGGTGGGGCTCTGAGTGAACTACAAATATGGTAGCAGGTAAGTTCCTGTGTTGTCACAGCTGATGTCTGGCTCACAGCTGATTATCTTTCTCTAATCACTTTCCTTAACCTGGTCCCAATAGTAGTAGATGTGCATTTGTTTCTTCACGATTATAAGCAATAAAAGGCCAGGTGGCTTGGCAGTAAGAAGTCCAAGTGGTAAAGAGCAATCCTAATTCAAATCATTGTCCCTTAAGTTTACAATTGAGAAGGCAGCTTTAAGAAGAAAATAACAATGGAAAACAACTTTATACGTCCTTAGAGACTTTGAACTGTTTCCAGCCTTTAAGTCATGCTGCTTGGTTTTGACAGGTTACATTTACCTTCCAGGGTTTGTTGCTACAACAGCAGTGTTATTTTTCTTGTGGTCCTACCTAAATTTTTCTTTTTGTTCACAGTGCGAGATGAGGACGGAAGCACGACGAAAAAATCTTCTAATTTTGATTTCGCATTATTTAACACAAGAAGGGTATGTTGCATTACAAACATTTACCGAGATGATTCCTCTTTCTCTGCCCTCCACTTTCCCAGATGCGTACTTCTAAATACAATCGACTTTCTTGTTTTGAGCAGTTCTATATTTACAGAAAATTTGAGCAGAAAGTACAGAGTTCTGTACACCCCTTCCCTTTTCCAGTTTTCCCTCCCAGTGACATCTGTATTGATGTGATATATTATTACAGTTGATGAGCCAGTACATTATTAACTGAAGTCCGTAGTTTGCATTAGGGTATGCTCTTTGAGTTATATTGTGTTGTGAGTTTTGAAAAATGTATAATGGTCATGTATTTGCCAATATGGTAAAATATGGAATCGTTTCGCTTCCCTAAAAATGCTGATTCTCCTCCTGCCCCAGCAACCCAGACATACACTTTTTTTTTTTAATTTGAGAGAGGATCTCATTCTGTTGTCCAGGCTGGAGTGTAATCACAGCTCACTGTAGCCTTTAACCACATCCCCCTGCTCCCAGCCTCCCTAGTACCTGGCACTCCTGGCGTGCACCATCATGCCCGGCTAATTTTTGCATTTTTTTTTTTATAGAGACAGGGTCTTAGCATGTTTTCCAGGCTGGTCTCAAATTCCTGAGCTGAAATGATCAGCCCACCTCAGCCTCCCAAAGTTCTGGGATCACAGGTGTGAGCCACTGCACCTGGCCTCAGACGTATGCCTTTATTGCCTCATTTACCTAGATATATTTCACTTTTTCAACAGACCTATCCAGTATATAAAGTACTTTTCCTTTCCTCTACACACTTGAAGATGGCATAATAAAGAGGTTTTTCTATAGTCCCACTGCTAGCTGTATACACAAAGATAAATCTCTTAATCACTTTTCCTTTCCTCAAAATAAAAGCATTGCATTTACTTGGACAACCTAAGCCCAGCTCTCTTCTTTGCAATACCCATTCTATAACTGGCAGGGAGAGGAAATTTGAAAACTTCTGGGTTTGGCCACCTACCTCATTAAAAACACACAAGCAATTACAGTAAGGGCTGCTGCTACCATGCTGGATGGTGTAAGAGGCAGAGAACTGCTCTGCAAAGTGTTGGAAGGGCACCGTCTATGTCACATTCTCTTATCAAATTTCAGCCAGGAAGAAAACATTTAGGTTTCAGACTAGGAGCATACAAACTTTTTCTTTTACAGACGGGGTCTCACTCTGTTGCCTAGGCTGCGTGATGATAGTTCACTACAACCGCTAACTCCTGGGCTCAAGGGATCCTCTTGCCTCAGTTTCCCTAGTAGCTAGGATTTACAGGCACATATCACCATATCCGGCTAACATTTAAATTATTTTAAGAGGCAGGATCTAGCTGTTGTTCAGGCTGGTCTTGAACTACTGGCTTCAAGTGATCTTCCTGCCTCAACCTTCCAGTCACTTGAATTAGGGCTTGAAAACTTGATTTAGAGCAGTTGTTCTCATTCAGGGTGATTTTGCCCCTTGGGGGATATTTGGCAATGCTTAGAGTTCTTTTTGCTGTCGAACTGGCATCTAGTGGGTAGAGGCCAAGGAACCTGCCAAATGCCATCCGATGCACAGGACAGCCCCATAACAAATAATTATCTGGCTTCAAATGTCAACAGCACCAAGATGGAGAAATCTGCAGTTAGAGCAAGAAAAACCAACTTTTGATATTTTCCCAAAAAGTCTGATAAGCATCTTTTCCTTCATTAAATATGGCAGCTACTAGTGAAGTAAGGGAGCTACTGGAACTAAAAGTCTGTTTTGAGACTCCAGTGAACCTAGTCCTAGAGAGGTACAAAGGAAAAAGGTGAGGAGGGCAGGAGGCAGCTGATAAGGAACTGAGAGTTCCCGTTGTTTCTGTCAGCCATGCCAGCAACTGCAGTTTTTCGTAAACCTATTGCCCCCTTGAAGGGAATGGCCATTGTAGAGACTTTGAGGTATTTTCTCCATATTTTACAGTAGATATCGGGGTACCTATCTTATGGTTGAAGAACTTCAGGCTTCAAAGAGTCAAAGATTGTGTCAGGAGGCCACCTGGGTCTAAGTGGGAGAACTTTCCAGGCCCGTCCTGACCCAAAAGCCTTCCAGGGTCTTTATTTTTCTGCTCCAGTGTTGAAGATTTGCTTTTTCTTGAGGATCACGTCAGAAAAATCCTAATGTCTGCGGGCCTTGTTTTCTGAGGTTTTGTTTTGAGTGATGATTTTTTTTTGTTTTGTTTTAAGACAGAGTCTTGCTCAGTTGCCCAGGCTAAAGTGCTGTAGTACAGTGGCGCAGTCTCAGCTCACCAAAACCTCTTCCTCCCAGGTTCAAGTGATTCTCCTGCCTCAGCTTCCCGAGTAGCTGGGATTATAAAAGCCCACCACCATGCTGGCTAATTTTTTAGTAGAGACTGGGTTTCGCCACGTTAGCCAGGCTGGTTTTGAACTTCTGAACTCAGGTGATCCACCTGCCTCAGCTTCCCAAAGTGCTGGGATTATAGGTGTGAGCCACCATGCCCAGCCTAGAATTATGATCTTTTAAAGTTTTGTTTTAAAAAAATTCCATGACACAGCCCTTAGGAGATCCTAAGAACATGTGCCCCTAAAGTCTTTTAAAGAAAATGAAATCTCTGCAATTGCACTTAAGCATTTAAAAAATTATTTATGTCATTAAAGGATCTGTGGTTCTCTTTTTGGGCTTTTTTCCAAAATTTCAGTATATGCATTTGGTAGTCAATTATGACACTGCACCTTTGAACAAACTTTGTTATTGAGTAATCTGATTTATTTTCTCCCCTTGACTGACCATGTAAGCTGTTTAATTGCAAAATGTAGACTTCCTCATAACACTTTAGTATCAGAATTTTGAAAATGACTTTTCCTTATGGTAAATACAATGAATTGCAACAGCTTAAACACAAAAGCATTTCTTACTCACCTTGAAACACATGATTTTATCAGACACTTCTCTTTTTGGTGTTAGAGAGATACATTTTATTGAGAAAACAGCTCATTCTTACCACATCCCCACCACTCCCAGACTAGAGAAATGAGTGTGCCCGCCCCATGGTTAGCAGACAGACCAGTCACTTCTCAGCGTAGGCTCAAACACTGTATCTCCACAGAGTAGTGGGGTGAAATCAAGCTTCAGAGCAGGGCAGGGCTGACTTTGGTCATTTCCATTCCTCTGTTTCTCCATCTGGACTATAAGGGCATTTCTGAAATTGACAAGCCAGACAGTGCTTGTGGGCAGTAGGCTACTCTGCTCTATTCACCAGGCACCTAATAAATGTAATCCCCAGGGTAGCATATGAAAAAGTGCCAAGTGCCCACTCTAAGACAGGGCTGTGTGACTTGCTGTCATAGGGAGGGCTTCCAGGATATGCAGACAGACTTAGGAGCCAGACTATTTTCTTTCAGATGCCCACTCTTCTTTTTGCTATTCTGTGATCTTGGACAAGTTACTTATTCTCTTTATGCTTCAGTTCCCTTGTCTGTAGAATGGAGTAATGGGGTATAGCTAAGTATCACATAGATGCCATTATTAAGAGGATTAAATACGTAACTTGCTTAGAATTGTGCCTGACAGTTACACTTATACTTCTACTATTGATAGGATTTGGGTTTTATTCTCTTAATAACCAACTTGGTTCAGCAAAGGACTTAAAGAAATTGGAATGTGGGTTCGGCCCATTTTACATTATCTTTTGATGGAATACTAGCTCTATCCAAAGAACCCTGAGTTAAAATGCCTCAAGGTACTTTTCTAAGTGTGTGCAACACTTGGAACAGTAGTTATCAGAGTGTTAACAGATGTTACTTTAAGAGTTTCGTGGTCAGGTAAGCGTGGCAGATACTGGGTTAAACTAAACAAGTTCCCTTATTTCAGGACTTCTCAGACCATCTAATTTACTATGTGCAATGTAAGTATCACACTAAAGTCACAGTATTCAAGGTCTTGCACACCAATATGACCAAGGTTTTTCCAGGGTTTTGAGGTTCTTGTGGTTGTTTTGGAGACAGGGTCTCGCCTATCGCCCAGGCTGGAGTGCAGTTGCCCAGTCATGGCTCACTGCAGCCTCAAATTCCTGGGTTCAAGTGATCCTCTGACTTCAAACTCCTGAGTAGCTGAAACTACAGGCATGTGCCACCACACACAGTTATTTATTTATTTATTTATTTATGTTAGAGATGGAATCTCGCTATGTAGACCTAGCTGGTCTTGAACTTGTGGTCTCACGCAATCCTCCCACCTCCGCCTCCAAATTATCTCGACTGCAGGTGCATGCCACCGTGGCTACTTTTTGTTTTGTTTTGTTTTTTGGTAGCGATGAGATTTAGCCATATTGCCCAGACTGGTCTGGAACTCCTGGGCTCAAGCGATTTACCCACCTTGGCTTCCAGAGTGCTGAGATTACTGACGTGAGCCTCTGTGCCTGGCCTAAGGAACTCTTTTTTTTTTTTCCCCCTCAAACCATCTTTAGAGACTAGTTTTCCACAGACCATTTTGAGAATGCTGCCTTCCTGGATTAGTTGCCTCTTATAAAACTTAAACTCACCATGCCAGGGCCCAGCACTGTGAACATGGTATTAGATGCTCAGTAAATGTTATTTGCATAGCCATTGAGGAACTTACTAGAATGTAGATGGGTAGAATAATTAGAAAGTAAGACAAAGCCATTTTCACAAATAATCCCTAATTTTTTATTACAATGTATTTTGTGTTCCATAAATTGTAACAGAAAGAAGAACTGTAAAAACAAAAAGATAGATGAATAAAAGTCAGATGTAGTTTTCTTTTTTTTTTTTTAATTTTTTATTGGATTTTAGGTTTCGGGGTACATGAGCAGAGCATGCAAGACAGTTGCGTAGGTACACACATGGCAGTGTGCTTTGCTGTTCTTCTCCCCTTCACCCACGTTTGGCATTTCTCCCCAGGCCATCCCTCCCCACCTCCCCCTCCCACTGGCCCTCCCCTTTTCCCCCCAATAGACCCCAGTGTTTAGTACTCCCCTTTCCGTGTC